CCCTTAGTAACATAGGTTCCCCTAAAGACGCCGCTACTCTAGGGGAGATAGGCTCTGTCTTCCCTGCCACTCATGTTTTGCCACCATAATCAGTGTTTTGTTTCTGTTTCCTGTATCTACCCAGCAAAAGGGGAGGGGGGTTGCAATGTTGTTACCCATATAAATATCCTTGTTGGTACTGTTATATCTGCCACTCCCCCTGTGTGGGTGTGGCTTTAATAATTTATACTAAATTGCACACTAGCAGGGTCTCATTAACAATTTCGGGACTTTGACAGTTAAACTGGCCGCCTAACAAGGGGTGCCGTTCAAAAGCCAATTTCGTCCATGATACGTCCTTGCAGGGAACCATGGTAGTTGAATTCATCTTCTTAGACTGGATTATTTTTTAGGTGAATACAACTATCATGAGTTATCTGCAAGCGTGTTTCATAGAGGGAACTGGACAGGGGTGGCCGCTTAATTTAAGTTCGTCTGTATGTTAGCGGAGCTCTTGCCCGAAGCGGGCCAGCGCAGCACCATGGATAAAGAGTTTTGGATAAGCCATAAATATATACCGAGAAAATTTGGCTATTGCGTCACTAAATGAGTGAGCATTCATTCGTCCGTACAGAATCTGGATACGGGGGAGTGGAGTCACATGATTCATCACGTGATCAAGGAAAAAAATGAAACGCGTTTCGAGTGTTAAGAGAAATTATAAAACTGTTAACACATCGGAAAAAAATGGTTGATTCGTTGATTTATCGAAAAGATTAGTTCAGTTCAGTCTTCCCTTCACAGCACAATGACTTTAAACTAAATAATATAATGATTCTCCTCACAAGATCTGAAATCTAAAGAAAACAAAGCCTCCGACTGTATCTATCGGTCTTCTTCAACAAAGTGAACTCTGTCACGTAGCTCAAAAAAATCACGGGGAATCTGTAGACCCAATCTATGTTTAACTCCCTCCAAATATATTGTGAAGAACAAATAGTGTGGTTTTCAGCTGAGTAGAAAAAAATCTTCAGTATTACTTTGACCAATCACAAAAGACGCAGACAGCCACATGAACCAATTAAAACTCGAAGCAAATACATGTAGCTGATGCAAAGAACGGAAAACATGTGCGAGCGAGGAGTGATTGGTTTTGGTGTTACAAATGCGAAACCAATCAAACGCGGATTACTTTCGACACTCAAGTGAAAACCGCTCTAAACAAAGAAAAATTTAATTCATTCTAATTTCATAATCCACCCGTTGTGTTGATCATCTCATACAGTATACCGATGAGCTTCATGGAATAATTGAAAGAAAAAAAAGCAGCCCACCTTTACATTCTCTATATTTCAGAAAGGCGTGGTTATAATTGACAGTCCGGGTATTGGTGAGTCTGATACGATGGACGAGATAGTCTCGCAGTATTTACCACAAGCCTTTGCCTTCATTTATGTCATAAGCAGTGCAAACGCTGGAGGAATTCAAAAACACAGAGTGAGTATTGAAATAGAATAATAGTAGTGACGTTACTGAGCATTTGCGCAATAATATTTTTTACTGAAATCGGCAGATATAGGCCTAACCTATGAGCAGAGTCTCCTTCGATCTTCTCGATTTTTCTAGGAAGATCGAAAGGGACTCTGCTCGCAGGGTAATATAGGACAGAAGGGGTTCACATAGAGAAAAAGGTTCAACACTCGTCCGGCCCTCAAACAAAGAAACCCTATTCCTAAGGCACGAAGGCAAAAGCTTGTAAGGCAATCCTCAAGAGAAGCAGGAGACACGGTAACGAATCCTACAGTCTGATTGGTTCTTTGCACCGTCCGGATTTTCCTATCTCTGCCGACGATCCCGGTGACGCTCTGGCTCTCACTGCGGGCGGAATCCTAGTGTTGATCTATTTTTGTGAATGAACTAGCGAAAATCGTCGGTTGTTCTGCCTTTTTTTCATTCATGGTGCTTTTGATTTACAGCTTGAAAAGTTGCTGGATGAAGTAAGGAAGATGACGATTGAGAGACAGAAAGGATTAGTCTTATCTCAGTGTGCTTTGTTCGTGTGCAACAAATGGGACCAAATTCCGGGGAGAGAAGTAAAAGAGGTCCAGGATCACTTGATCAACAAGCTGAAGATGTGTTGGCCTGGCATTGATCCTAAGTCACAGATAACCTATATGTCAACAAAAAAAGCCAGTATCGCTCAGAACTACGGAATTATCACCCAAGAATTTTTCTCCTTGATGAGTGGCATCAGGTCGATGGTTTTGAAAAGCATCAAAGCCCGGCTGGAAATGCACTGGAAGTAAGCATTTAAGTGTGTTAATTGATCGATAGAGTTCCTAGCTAGGACCAAACAAAAAACAAAAATGTAACCATATAGATCACGTGAGGTCATCACTTTCTAAAATCCAAAACTAAAGATTAACCAAAGTTTTTATCATCCTCAGGTATATTTATAGCTGTTCACAATTTTACAGCTCAATAGCATGCTTCGTTTGGAAGCCAGAGCATTTTGAATTGCAGGGTTTTGGTGGTGCGTGACACAAGTTTCTTGAAAAATGTATACTCATCCTATGATTTTGAGCGTTTTAAGAAGTTAGAACATTAGGAAAAGCGCTTATATAAATGCTTGTTTGTTCAGTACTGACAATCAGTCGTCTAGATAGCCAACGTAAGTTCCAGATGTTTGCACTATTTTCCGGCCGTCATATTGGTGTACCACGGATGTACACCAAAATGGCGTTTTCATACTGGGCTCTGTAAATTTCTGCGAAACATTTCAACGAATATCTGAAGTTTGGTGAAACGCACAGCAGAAGTTTCTTATTTAGTTATCTTCTATAACATCAGAACTTCTTAGCTATTTCCACTGGATGGTTTTCGATTTACTTTTTTATTGCGTGACAGTGAAAACTATCTACACACTGTAAGTTGTCAATTTTAGAAACCGTTATACTGGAATATAAAATAATAATAATTATAATAAAAATAATAACAATAATAATAGTAATAATAATATAATAATAATATAATAATAATAACAATAATAATAATATTGATAATAATAATAAAATATTATATGATAAATTATGGATGTCCTATTCTACCTCAAGAAACGACGTGAGGTCATATCGGGTGTGAACGTTTACCCAGTACACTTAGCTGTGAAATACGTTCACTTAGATCACCTTGATACGATACCGAATCTGAATTTACGAATTTCTGAAGATACGCAATCATCTGTAACCAACAGGGCGCTTGAATGAAGTTTGTACAATACTTACTCTTTAACAGCTTTAATGACAAGTAACACGTGGCAAGCATCTATTCTATCTCGGCAACAATCGTGCTCCTTAATCCCTCTCTTAGAAGTTAGATCAAAATGATCGCTTGAACAGGACTTAGAAAGTGCCCTGCAGTTAAAAGAAAACATTTCAGGTGTTTCATAAAAAGAAGTCGGCGCAAAACTAATTCAGGTATAGCGTTCTTGGCACAAATTGACTCGGTCGCTTATAGAGAACAAATGAGATTAATCCTTCGAACCATGATAATAAAAATACTATTCTGAAACTTTAACTTACAAGCATTGGTGAAAGATGTTAATTGAAATTTACGTTTTATTGTTATTCTTTTTTTTTTTGAAGATGGCTGGATTACTTGCTCTCACGGATAATTTATCAAGCAAAAGCTTTTGTGATGAACGCTTCCAGAGATCACGGTGAGGTCGCTGAACGAATGGATTCGATTAAGCGCCGTTTGGTCCAGATTGAAGAAAGAGAAACTGAAATGATGGAAGAGCTTGGTAACCACTTGGAGGCTCGTGTCAAGAGCGCTGTTGATGAGCTCTCCGAGTATCTTAAGTCGGATGATGTCAAAGCTTGCTTCACTACCTGGATCTTAGACGAAGTTCCAAAGGCAGAGGGCTCCTGGGAAGAAACTAACAGCAAAATCACGAAAGCGTTAGAAAATCGGCTGCGAGAAATCATCGAGCATTGGGAAGAAGATCACCAAGTATTTTCAGATGCTCGCAAGTCCGTTGTACAGCGCTCTAAGCAGCGGTACAATATTGTTGTAGGGCAACTGAGGAATCTCCAGCGTGCTGTAACAAATGATGACCTCGATGTTCCCGAAACTGTTCCTCCTAAACAAGGCTTAACTATGGCGGAAAAGGTTGTCATCGGCGTCACTAGTCCAATATGGGTTCCAGTTTCCCTAGTTACGCTGTTGATTGGCGCCCCTGTGATCGGCATACTTGAGATTAAAAACAAACTGGAAAATAGAAGTAGGATCAAGAAATACGAAAGAGACAAATGTGCTTTTATGGCTGAAGCATCCGCAGACTATCTCGATGGTGCAACAAACGAAAGCGTGCTCAAGGTGTTTGTGGAGAACCAAGTGAATGAGGCTAAGCTGTGTCTGGAGCAAATTAAAGGACGTATTCCCGAGCTGATCGAGGCTGACAAGATGTTATGTGAAGCACTCGGTGATGTAAAGCTTTCACAGAGAGAGATACAAGAATTGTACCGACCAATCGTGGATGAAGCTTCTGATATCAGGGGACATCTGGCGATATTTGCTTTACATGGCATCCGTGCCATTGACATCAGCAGCGAGGAGTTAGACTGGAAAGAAGAGAGTTCTTCACGTCTTGGATGCGGTGTATTTGCCACTGTGTACCAAGGGAAGATGAGAAGGCGAGGAGAGGAGCAGACTGTAGCATTAAAGGTTTGCAGGAACGAGCTTCACGCCCACAGCGCAAGCTTTATAATGGCAGAGGTAGAACTTTTGAGGTAAGAGATTCTTAAGTTTACCGAACCTCGCCCTCCATGCAAGTAAGAGCTAATTGAACTAAGACTGGAGAGGGGTTTGTCTGGTATTACAGGGCTCCTTAAGAAGCAGATACTTTGAAGAATGATCTTGTGGACTGCCCCGGTAACGCAGTATAACTTCTTTCTTAACCCGGAGTGGTCTTTTCACCTATTCTGTCTTTTCGACTCCATGTTATGAAGATCAGAGTACTTTGTTCCTACTCAGATGTGTGTGGTAGACGATCGATGTACTAACGGGCATAAGATAAGAAGGAAAGGAATATAACATTATCTTGCAGTTTAAATAAAGGAAATTTTGCTTTACTTTTATGTATATTGCGTGTTTTTTTTTTTTTT